AAGATCCACAGACCCGAGGACAGAGAAGTTTCCAGGGTAAATTAAAATGCCCAGGCTTTTGTTATTTATTTATTTATTTATTTATTTTTTTTTTGACGCAGTCTTACTCTGTCACCCAGGCTAGCATGATGTGGGATCAGCCTAGCTCACAGAAACCTCAAACTTCTGGGTTCAAGCAACCCTCCTGCCTCAGTCTCCTGAGTAGCTGGGACTACAAGTGCCCACCATAACACCCAGCTAATTGTTCTATTTTTAGTGGAGATGAGGTGTTACTCTTGCTCAGGCTGCTCTTGAACTCCTGAGCTCAAGGGATTGAGTTTGGCCTCTCAGAATGCTGGGATTATAGGCACAGGCCAGTGAGCTAAGCAAAATCCCCAGGTTTTTTTTCTTTTTATTGAGACAGAGTCTCACCATGTCACCCTCAATAGAGTGCCATCGCATTACAGCTCACAGCAAACTCAAACTCTTGGGCTTAAGTGATTCTCTTGCCTCAGCCTCCCAAGTAGCTGGGCCTACAGGTGCCTGCCACAGTGCCCAGGTACTTGTTTGTGTGTTTGTTTTAGCAGGCCAGGGCTGGGTTCGAACCCGCCAGCCCTGGGGCATGTGGCCATCACTCTACCCACTAAGCTACAGGCACCACTCCCTAATCCCCAGCTTTTAACGCATCTTAATCTTCTCTACCACTGTACTGCCTTGGATTTTTACATGACTGTTTTGTTCTGGCTCCCAAGTAAATGAAGATACTTTAAATCTTAGCCCCTTTCCTATTCTATGGGCAAGAACACTTAAAAATTAACAGGAGAAAACCGTGATTGATTATGGTATGAGTAGGATTTTCTTTAAAAAGAATTTGTATTTCATTCATTCAACAACTTTGGGATAGTAGTTTAGCATCATGTTGAGAGCAGAGTGTTTAGCAGATTTGGTATGAATTACACCCTTGACACTTACTAGATGCGCCAAGGTGTTTGACTAATCCTTAGTTTTTTCTTTTGTAAAATGGGACTAATAGTAAGACTTGTCTAACAGCATTGTGGTGTGGATTACAAATTCAGGTAAGGTTCCTGGAACGTATGAAGTGGTTAGTCAAGTTACTTGTTACCAGTGATAGTCGCAGGAGCGTGGGCCAGAGACTGCTGAGTTCTGGGCCTTCGGCAAAGAATAGGAAAGACAAACAACCCTGCTTTCCAGAGCAGACAGGTGACGTGAGCAGGCAGACAGATGAGCAAGACATTGACTGCTGGAATAGGAAAAAACATATAGGGTTCTATGAAAATACAGCACTGACAAGGAGGGAAGGCCAACAGTTCCAGAAAGATTTCTTGGAAGAAAACATCATCACAACCTTTAAGAATTATCATATTTGGCTCAATGCCTGTGGCTCAAGCGGCTAAGGCGCCAGCCACATGCACCTAAGGTGGTGGGTTCAAATCCAGCCTGGGCCCGCCAAATAACAATGACGACTGCAACCAAAAATAGCCGGGCATTGTGGCAGGTGCCTGTGGTCCCAGCTACTTGGGAGGCAGAGGCAGGAGACTTGCTTGAGCCCAGGAGTTGGAGGTTGCTGTGAGCTGTGATGCCACAGCATTCTACCCAGGAGGACAGCTTGAGGCTCTGTCTCAAAAAAAAAAAGAATTATCATATTTGATGTGAATTGTTGGGTTCCATTCCTAGATGGTAAGTTACTTAAGGGCAGGGATTCTACGTGTTGTTTGCATTATTCAGCAAGCTCTTGGCATGGTGTTGGCACGGGACAGCCATCCAGATTATCTGATGGGTGAGCGAATGAAGGAAGGGACGCCTCGGTGAAGTAGGATTCTGAGGAGGATGACAGGGTGTTCCAGCCAGAGGAAATTATGCGTGAAGCCTCCAAAGTGAGCAAAAGCCCGGTGAGTGGGAGGAGTTGAGATGCAATGAGCTGGAAAGGCTGTGCCTGTGGACGGCCACAAAGGAGGCTGGAGGGGGGGGTGCTGGGCTGGGTCTGGTGAGCCAAGGTGGGGAGTTTGAACTCTGTGCAGGTGTGCAGGAACACTGAGAAGCCATCAGGGATTTTAATCAAAGGGACGATATGATCAGTGTACATTTTTAAAGTCTATTCTTTATTCTGTTACTATACTAATAATTCAAATCAATTTTAAGGAGAAAATGGGAACTACAGATAAGCATAATTTTTTTAAAACCACCTGTAGTCTCAGCAAAGATAACCACCCTTTGACCATGAATAACAATCCGTCTCAGTTACCTATTGTCGTGAAGCAAATCACCCCAAGCCCCAGTGGCTTAAAACAATGATTGATTCTTTCTCATGAGTCTGCGCGTTGAAGAGAATGAGCTGACTGGTTCCGAGGGGGAGCACCGTATTGGAACTTAGAGTTGAAAGGAATTGAAGGAAAAACACAGAGCCTAGACAAGGCTAAAATTGTTGAGGTGTTCTACAACCAACACCTCTGTATTAGCCCGAGTGTGTATCAACCCTGAGTGTGACAGGTGGTCACAATGTGGCATTTGTCCATTCTGACTTCCTTGGGGAAGGAGCAGGACAGGGTCACATGGTGGAGGCCCAGGCAGGATACTTCAGTGTGCCCAACAGCAGAGTGCACACAGGCCATCGTCGGAAATGAGGAGCAGACCCTGAAAAGCCAAATATGGTGCCAAGAGGGCAAGTACGAAGCCACAGCAGCAGGTAGGTTGCTGCTCACCTTCCGTTCTGAGCAGGGCAAGGGCCTTCTTCTCAACCTGATTCATCACAGCCATGAGAAAGCTCCCGACTGAATGGCACAAGGAAGAAACCAGCCAGCTCCTGGATTTGTCTGTGAGCCTCCAAATAACGCCTGAAGAGAAACGATGAACCTCTCCACTTCCACCTCTTCCTCACCCCCACCTCCCCCTCTTCCTCACCCCCACCTCCCCGTCTTCCTCACCCCGACTTCTGTTGCCTTAGTAGTGCAATCCTTCCTCACCTCTAGGATTCTGGGAGCTTCCTCCTACCCACCCCAGTCCATCTTCTAGATAGTTGCCACAACTAGCTTTCTTGACACACATCTTTCAGTTTTAAGAAACAGCAGAAAAAAGAGGGCAGGGGCTAGAGACAGGTGCAATGCTCAGATTAGGCAGAGACTTGTCAAATATGTCATGAAGCAGATCTTCTCCTGATTGAAGGGAAACAACCGAATGACTTTCCAGAAGAGACGGTCAAATTTGCTTATTTTAAAAGGATATGCCGGCTAGGTATGGTGGCTCATGCCCGTACTCCTAACACTTTGGGAGGCTGAGGCATGTGGATCACCTGAGCTCAGGAGATTGAGAACAGCCTGAGCCAGAGCAAGATCCTGTTCTCTACTAAAAATAGAAAACAAAACTAGCTGGGCATGGTGGTGGGCGCTTATAGTACCAACTGCTTGGGAGGCTGAGGCAAGAGAAAGGCTTAAGCCCAAGAGTTTGAGCTGGCTATGAGCTATGAGACCATGGCACTCTACCCAGGGAGACAGTGAGACCGTCATAAATAAATAAATAAATAAATTATATAGGCAGCAAGTTAAGAAACCAAGAGTGAGCCTGGAGGCTGTGAGATCACTTAAGATACTGCCGTAACCGTACTGATAACAGTGCAGATCTGAACCAAGCCAGGGACTGATTAAAGACGAGACAAAGAGATACAATACAAATGAAACCATACAGACGACAGGGGATAGCAACCTCCAGTAAACAGGCAAAAGGAGATGAGGACATTATCTAAGGTTTCAACCTGAGTAGAAGGAATCCTTATTCTCTGAGAAAAACACACAGGAACAGTAGATTTGAGAGTAATCAAAAACTTCCAAGTGGCATGGCCAGTTGTGAATAAATAGGTTGGGAGCTCAGTGAAGAACAGTGGACTTAATATTCTGAAAACCAGAAGAGAGAAAAGATGAAGCCATGAAGAGATTCACCTAGAAAGAATGTGTAGCATAAAAGCAATACAAGGCTTGGAGCCTATAGCTCAAGCAGCTAAGGCGCCAGACACATACACCAGAGCTGGCAGGTTTGAATCCAGCCCGGGCCTGCCAAACAACAACTACTACAACCAAAAAATAGCCAGGCATTTGTGGTGAACACCTGTAGTCCCAGCTACTTGGGAGGCTGAGGCAAGAGAATCACTCGAGCCCAGGAGTTGGAGGTTGCTGTGAGCTATGATGCCACAGCACTCTACCAGGGCAACAGCTTGAGGCTCTGTCTCAAAAAAAATAATAAAATAAAAGCAATACAACTCTGGAGGAACTGAAGGCCGTCTCAAGACTCAGAAAGCCAAAAATAATCCTTGCATCTCAACAAATCAAAATCTAAAAGCAGAACTTAGTAAAAGTATTTCGTAAAGAAGAAAGGGTCATCCTTAACTAGAGTCTCCACTGGGAGGGTAGGAAAACGTACTAATGCCGGTATCTCCATAGGTCTTACAAGAAAACCATTATTCAGATGCCTCATTTCCTAACCAAGTAGGAAAAAAAGGTCTACAAAAATCAAACTAGATCACAGGAAACCTATCAGGGGAAAAAAGGACTATCACTTGCAAAACTACCTGAGACTTAGAAAAAGAGGCCTACAAAAGCAAAAACCTGGCAGGCCCCTCACAGCCTTTTCACTAAGCAACTATCAGATTAGGTAGTTTGGTTCGTCTCCAGAAACAGACTGTACTCATCTGCCAACCTAGAGTCTGGTGTACTTGGTAACTGTTGTCTTTCACTGTAAATTAATAGGTACTATTCTGGGAATACATCAGCCTCAGAGAGCTTGCTTCATAGGCGTCCACCCCAGGTGGAGGTCAACACTCAAGTGACAAGTACAGTTGCTCTATCTCCAAGGCTAAGGGCCAAACCAGTGAGGAACTATGACCTAGAGGACTTGTGGTGGACAGTTAAAGGCTTACCCTGGAACCACTCCAGCCTCACCAGAAGGCTCCTCACTGAAATACAGCAAGCACTTTCATTGAAAGCTTAAAAATTAAGATGTGATTTCGAACAAGAATTCATTATTTTATTTTGAATTATAATCTATTATCACTTCAAAAAGAGTCACTCCTGAAAACATCCAATGGATGCTGACTTACCAATAAAAAAGTCATGTATGATTTGTAACTCAGAATACACAATAAATTATATTTACATGCAATGACTAGACTATCACACACACACAAGGTAAAAAAATACAGTATTTTTATGTACATCTTTAAAGATTTACATTTTCATATACAGTTTATAAAATTAAAAATTCTCTGTACAAAATCTTACGTGTACAGAGTATACACATTCCCATTCTATGGCTGTATCACCACACAGATCTGCTTAAAACAATAATACTACAAACACTTGGGTTATTTTCACTTCATACTCAATCTTGGCTCCCATATGCTAATACATTATTTTTGAAATGTCAATTACAAAGAAAATAAAATATAATCATGCAGACATTTTTTAATATAAGAAAATGAGATAAAATGTATACTAGCTCAACACTTATCAACTCCATAGTTACCTAGTTGTGTTTAACTTCCCACACTGCTTTCATACAGATACATGCAAAACTAGCAGATTATGGATTTTTTTAAATAACATTGAAATAATACTATAGTCTGACAATGCTTAGGCATTAGTAATGCGACCAACAGCCTTAGCATGTCAATTATATCTGCTTTAGCAGAAACCTCAATAAAGACATTACATACTAAAATTCACAGAAATGGCATTATAATTCCTAAATTTATAGGATCTGCATCGGATAGACACTGCTCATTTAAAAAAATGAAACAAAAATGGTGTTTGACATTTAAGAGTATGTTCTTTTCTGAGGAAAGAGGAAGGGGAAATCTAAGATAAACCCCTGAGGGATTTACCCAGCGTCCCTGCTCAGGAGCACTTGCACACTTCCAGTCTGCGTACATAAAGACACCTGAAGAGTTATAAAATGTTCAAGATAAGTTACATTATTTAGCTTTAAAAATCCTTTTGTAAAGTAATAAATTGAAGGTATAAGCACCTTCCCTCCTCCCCCAAGTAGCTAAAGATCAACAAGAAAAATAAAGTGCCAAGGTCTAAATTACTGATACTTATCTAAGAGGCACTAACCCATTTGATGGCTTAGGATAAATATGAAAATAGGCCAGATCTGATCTGAATAATAAATAGAAGGTAGGTATTCCAGTCTGTGTAATCCCTGCCTAGATAGGGGCTGAACCAGAAACTACCTACTCCCCCACTTATTGCTTTGAAACCTGTAGGTATAAATCCCAACGCAAAACAAGCAGATTTCTAAGATGGAAAGCACAGGGTCTGTGCCACTTTGAAGTTGAAAAAGAAGGTACACTCTTGATCACTGGGAGGGGAACTGCTGAGACTCTCCTCTCCACAACTCATATCTTCACAAGAGTCTTCACTAAAAGGAAAAACACAAGAGGATACCATCACTTAAAATACACTTACAGTTTTTTTTTAGGATGAATCATACACTTAAATATTTTATAAGCAAAATAAAACTGCCATATGAACAGTTCTGTTAGGATTTTTCCATTCAAAATTTAAATTTCATAGAGATAAAATTTAATTTATGAAGACTTTCTACAGCAAAGTCTACAGTAATCTCATTAGAAAATGCAGATTTTAAGAAGTTTAAACAAATTACTAATTGCCAAACTATTATTCTTAGACCAGTGAATAACTCTATCAGCAATTAATTGTAGACCTCTAAATATTTAATTTTATTTTTTTAAGACAGTCTCACTTTCTTGCCCCCAGTAGAGTGCTGTGGCATCACAGCTCACAACCACCTCAAACTCTTAGGCTCAAGTGATCTCTTGCCTCAGCCTCCCAAGTAGCTGGGACCACAGGCGGCCGCCACAACACCAGGCTATTTTTTTTTTTTTCTTTTGAGAAGTAGGGTTTCACTCTTATTCAGGCTAGTCTCTAACTCTTGAGCTCAGGCGATCTGCCTTGGCCTCCCAGAGTGCTAGGATTATAGGCATGAGCCACCATGCCCAGCCCAAAGAACACTAAATATTTCAAATCTGATAAATGCTGACTATAGACAATGTCTCTCCTATGACGTCATCTGTTAGCTTGTCTTTCTGTATCAATAATGGCATCTCTGATATTCTCAAATATCAAAGCAAGATACTAACAAGCTATGAAAATGAAACTTCTGGTCCTTTATCTCTATAGCACAAAACAATCAAATTCAGTAAAATTAAACAGTTACTTTATAAACAAAAATAATTAAACTCTGAATAAGACAATGACAGTGGACAAAAGTAAGACCAGCTGTAGGCGACTGCCCCGTTAGTGCTGGTGGTTCCCTTTATTTTCTAGCCTGGGGTGCCACAATCTCCACCTTAGAGCACCATAGTAGGAATTCACACTAACATTAAACAGTCCAAAATGCTGCTTCAGTATTTAGTTTTTTTCTTTAAAAATTTTTTTAACTAAAGTTTATCTCCAAAGATGAAGGGAAAAATAAATAAAGAGCAAGGGACATGAGGATGAAGATGAAAAACAACCAATTTTAAAAGGTCGGGGTGAGGCCACATAAATCATTACCTGTTTTAACGAAACTACTTTTGGTTTATTTTCTTACCTGAAGAAATGTTAGTAGAGTCTTTCTCTGATGCCTTATTTTTTACTATTCCATAGTTCTGTCTTGAGTATAAAAAAGGTGGCATTTAGTCTGGGAAAGTATAATTAGTGAAGAAACCGGCTTACCTTTCACTTTCATCAAAACATCCCCCCTCAGGTATTGTTGGCAGCTCAGGGACGCTATAGTAGCTGTTATGGAGGTTCTGGGCTGTGCGCCTCGAAACAATCCAAACCAACTTCTTAAGATCTGGTTTGCAACATTCAGGAGAAGAATATTCCGCTAGACATTTAGAAACTAACTCTCTCCAGTAAAAGAACTCAGTGTCATTAATCTGAAAAGAAATGTTTTAATGAAGAAGTTACAACAGTGCTTCTCAAACCTGGTGCAACTTGGCATCATCTATAAAGAAACACTGACTCCTGGCTCCTACCCCAGAGATTCTGATTTAATTGATAATGAATGTGACCTCAGAACAAGAGTTTGTAAAGCTCCCCAGGTGATTACAATGTGCCGACAAAATTTGGAAACCAAGAGGAAGAGAATCAGAAGTATAATTTATATAGGATTCAATACATAAAACACTCTGGGTCTGTCAACAGACCAACTATCAAGTTATATTGTTTAATAGTCTGAATGCAAAGGAACTTAACAATCCTTTTGCAATAGAAACACTGTTACAGAAAGCAATTTATTGCTTAGATTGCTAATAATGTACACATTTATAGTAGACACCCAACACAAATGGAAGGGGAAGTGTCCAATATGAAAGAAATGTCCCAAAAAGTCCCTCTACCCCTGGGTAGTGACCCAGTTTATTTCAAGGAATCATTTTTCACTGAAGAGGTTTCAGATACCACTATCAATAAAAAGTTCAGATTAAAAGTAATAAAATCATGATTTAAACAAAATCCATGAAGTTACCTATGTTATGATACAATGTTTCACACTGCACATACTTTTACCACAGACAAATCTGTTCCCACAACATCTTGGTCTCCATTTCTACCCAACACAGCTACAGCCTTAACCCCCTTCTAATCCAGCTTCTTGATTCTCCCTGCTCACTACTCCACTACCCTAAGCTCTCAGGTTCTCAGTGACCCCCTTCAATTTTCATTACACTGGACCTCTCTTCAAAATCCAATACTCTTGACCAAACCTTCTTAAAACCTCTTTCCAATCTGACAGGTTCTTCACCATCGGGAAGAACTTCACTTCACTTGGCTCCTACTGGAGGAAGGAGCTTCAAGTGACTCCTACCCAAAAGATTCCACAAGTTTTTACAGTTTCAATCATTGCTTCTTTTTGAGAAATTCCAAATCTCAATCTCTAACTGCGGTTTATTTTCTGAGACTTTATTCCAGACAACCAAATGCTTGCCTAGGACACCTACCTACCTGGATATACAAGCACCTAAAATTAACTTCTCCCAAATTTCTTGCCAATTATGCCAATATTCTCTCTGCCATTAGGTCCAAATTTTGGTCATTCACGTCTCCTTGCCTCATTTCCATGCTCGGCTTCCAAAACCACAGTTCGAGTCTGATAGCCTCACTCTGGCTTGCGACTATCACCTAGACTTTCTATCTGTAAGCCTACTCTAAAATGATTTCCCAGTACAATGAACACTATTTTGGTGACAGGCACACCAAACGCCCTGACTTAAGCATTATACAAGGTATCCACATAACAAAAACATCAGAAAGGTATGAATACTGCAGAAAAGACCCCGACATGCAGAAAGAAGCTGGACTGAGTGACCACGCTCCCTTCTAAATTAATATTGTCTGCGGCAAAGCTGTATGTTGAGAACTTTAACACTCAAGATAAAAAAAAGAAAACTGGTGTAAAAGTTAAAACCCCCAGGGCGGCGCCTGTGGCTCAAAGGAGTGGGGCACTGGCCCCATATGCCAGAGGTAGCGGGTTCAAACTCAGCCCTGGCCAAAAACTGAAAAACAAACAAACGACAAAAAAAAAAAAACCCAGAAAGTATTAATGTTTAAGTCACCACAGAAACAAATGAAACATTATGAAAGAAACGTGCTTTAAAGAATAAGGACTGAAGATATTTACCTTGGAATGTTTTTTAACTAGCAAGAGAATTTCCAGTAATTCAACGGATTTCAAAGTTTCTGCTTCCAAATTGAGAAGGCACAAAGCTAATACAGATGGCTACAAGAAAAGAAAATTTTTTTAATCCAAAATAAGAAACTGTAAGACATACATAAGCTAGAAATTGACTTACTTTTGCTTTTGAAAAGACAAGTCGGCAGTTGCAAGCTTTCAGCTGAGCTTCTAGTTTATCAAGGTTCAGTATTTCTTTCCTATATGATCCAAAAAAAGAATAAGGATGTATTAAACTTTCAAAGATTTAAACGTCTTTTTATAAATTTTTTTTCTTCCCTTTTTTTAGACACAGGGTCTTGCTACATTGCCCAGCCAGTCTCAAACTCCTGGGCTCAAACAATCATCCCACCTTGGCCTCCCAAAGTGTTAGGACTAGAGGTGTGAGTCACCACACCTACCTTTAAATGGCTTTATATTTTTTCCTCCCAGTGGTAAGATAGGATTTTATTAGACAGGAAGGAATACAGAAGGAGTAAAAAGTACCAGAGCTTCTGGCAAAGGGGAAGACCCAAGTCGAACATCTCTCTCAGGTATTTTGTCTAGGGGCTTTAAATGGCTTTAAAGACTTGTCACCAAAAGTCCAAGTTGAACATTTGAAGGGGGTAAAAATATAAAAGTCACTGGCATTCTAATGCTTCATTGTTAGCCAAAACAAAGCTCAAACTATAAAACTGTTATTTTTAATCCCACTGACCTTTCTGAAGTATGATAAAGTACAATAGTATGGTATAAGTGCAAAAAGTTTAAGGCAGTAGTAGCTTCCAATTCATAGTGCAATTTTTCTGAAATTATTTTTTCCATCCGTTTTATGTCAGAAGCAGTACATTTACATTGACTAATCCGGATTACATCATGAGTGGATGGAATATTGCATTCTTCTTCAACTATTCTAGCAGCCAGCAAAAAACAACAGACTCCAATACAAGACAAATGTTTAGGTTTCACCTAAAAAAACAAAGAACAAAAGGCTTCTTTTAACAATTGTCACTCTGATTTAGCGAAGATGACACTTAAAAGACTATTGTAATGATGTTCCTACTCTTAAGACAGAACACAATCAAGCTGCTTCCCTTACTTGTAATGGCCCTTCACTGACAACTGTACTCATATTCACATTTCAGACTTTCTTTAATCTGCCTTTAAAAAAAAGGCTTTCTAAAACTTTGTTCACTTAATTTAAATTTAAATGCAGGAGGAAAAAAAAATTCCATGCAGTTTCTAAAGCTAGATTCACAGCACTGAGTTATGTTTTGTATTTCAGACTTAAGCGATTCATAACAGTACAGTCTCCCCCAATATAAATTAAGCCTTTCAACACCAAAAAAGTATACTACTTCTTTGGATATAAAAATATTTTCTACTCAACTTTTCACATAAAATTTTGTAGGAGTCATTCCATACTTCAATATAATTTGCCCAAGAGAAATATCCCATCAGTAGGCAGAGCAGGACGTGTGTAAAAAGCTGCCACGGACAGATGGCTGCCCTTTTCTTCTCAGTGCCCTGAAAACTGACCCTGCAGCTGACAGTAATCCTATTGGCAGAAGAATCACTGCATTTTTCTAACAGTTGTTGGAGATTGCTTTGAAAAGACCTACAGCAGGTCACCTTAATATACTGTTATACTTTGTCATATTTCTGTACTAAAAACATCTGGGCTCCAAAAGAAACACGATGGGAGATGACAATATGAAAATCTTATTTTAAGAACTATACATATAGAGCAAATACCTAAAAAACAGTAGTCTCCCTTTTGTTATGTCTTCAAAGAGACAGTACTTAAGAAGTACAGCAAAATCTAACTTAAAATACACCAATACACTTAATTTGTAGAGTCTCTTAGTCTGGCAATAAGAGACTACAAATTCTGAATATTATCAGTTTTTATGAAAATTTATAAATAAATTGAACATTATATTAAATAATACTGAAACTTTGTTCACTTCATTTAAATTTAAATACAGGAGGAAAAAAATATATGTGGAATTATTATAAATTTGCATGTATACAGGGTCTTATTATACTAGCTCAATAAATATTTACTGAACCTTTGGGGGCTAGGCATTGCATTTGGAAATACGAAGATGTACTAGTAAAAATTATTAAATACCTTCATAAGAGCCAAGAATCTGTCCAAAATATTAACAGCCAAGACAAAAGTTTCAGTGCAAGATCCAAAAAAGTTAGTTAAACTCCTTAAATCTTCTACTTTGGCATTTCTCAATCTTGGACACAAAGTGTTATCATTCTGCAATAAAAACCAAGAGCCAGAGTTTACAATCTTCTTAGAACTACATAGATGGCTAAGACAGATTCAAAGTATACGGTAATTTTTTTGCCTTAATCTTCAAGAATACAGGGAGAAGACTGGTATCACTTAACTAAAGCTATACACATCATTAGAGACAAGGTGGAGATCACTGCTTTTAAAGAATACATATCATAAAAGCACTTCAGCAATTCAATGTTAAGGTAAACCGTTGCCACATTCCAGAGGATTAGAGCAAATATAATTCAATTCCCTTAGAATGAAGATAGAGGGTTCCTTGTTTACTCCTTAAAATTATTTAAGACCCTACTATAAATATTTCATATGCAGAGGTATTTCCATGGATGAACAGCTCGATTCACAAGGAGTCTACCACCAACAGGCTGGGAATGCTACATTTGCAGAAACCCTTCTCTACAGTATCACTACTCGCATTTTTGCTTAGAAACAAAACCATGACTCTGTAATAACGTTTACCTTGGTGCTCCAGGAAGACCAACTTTGGTCTTAAAACTTTGCAGTTGTGATTCAATTGGGGTTTTAAAAAAAGTTATCTTTTCCTAGCCCTATCAACTGCCTGAGCAAGTTATCTTTTCCTCCACCTTACCTCTGGGGTAGCCTCCATCAAGCTCAGCCCTTTTTCTCGAGGTTGGAATCTCTGCTCTCGTTCCAGGTAGAGGTTCAACAATCCAAGGAGCTGGACCCCTTCACGACCTGCCAAATGCTCTGCCCCCAAATCCTTCATCTGCAGCAAAGACACCACACATAACGTAAAACTGGGGGGTTGCCGGGGGGGGGGTACAGTGGGGCAGAAAGGACCGCGACCAGTACCTCCAGAGAGAAGCGGCCCAGCACACCCCAGCAAGACGCAGACGAGGGCACAGGTCACGTCCGCCCGAAACCGAGGTAATCCCCCAGCGGCCAGGGAGGTGTGGCAGGGGGAGGGGCCGTGGTCAGCGCCGCCGGCCAGCGCCGGGTCAGACCCGCCTGCTGTTTTACAAACAGGAAACTGTCCGCGGGCTGTGTCCACGGTCTGCCCCACCTGAAGTCGCGTGGGGGGAGATTTATGCCCTGGGGACTGCACCGGGGGGCAGCGACTGCAGCTGGTTCTGGGGATGGGGAGCTGCATAATAGGGGGGAGGGGAGGAGAAGTCTCGCGACCGAACAAAGAACCAGAGGAGGAGACTCCGGAGCCCCGCCCCGCCCCGCCCCGCCTGGGAGCCAGTTCCAGAAGCCCCTCGCGCAGGATCCAGGCCCCAGGCCTTCCCCGGCCGCTGCTGCGGCGCCTGCTCCGGACGTGCCAGAGTGGCAAGCGCCCCAGAGCGAAAAGCGGGGCGGTGGCACAGGCCTCCAGCTGGGGCCCGGGGACAGAAGTCCAGCCAACCCCGAGCCCCGACAGCACTCATCCGCCCACTGATGCCCAGTTCCGCAACCCTAGAAGTGCCACCCCAGCGAGCCCCCGAGACAAAATGAGGAAGGAGGGCGCAGGGTGGAGCATCGCCTTTTAGCCCCGTCGCCCCCTCCATTCGCCCCACTAGCATCTCTCCGCGGCCGGCACCAAGTGCCATAGGGCTGGGGCGAGGGCAGCTCCAGGGCTCTGTGACACCACCTCCTCCCGCAGTCCCGACCGCGAACAAAGAAACCCAGAGCGATCCCGGCCTGCCCACTCACCTTGCCGGAGATGCGCCTCCGCCGGCCCGCGGCGTCGCGGTCCGGAGGGTCTGGGCGCGGCGGACGTCCGAGCCGGTCTCCGAGGTCGGGGACCGACCGCTTCAGCGGGGCCACTGCACCGGCATCCGACCCTTCCTCCCTGCCGCAGCCGCCTCGGCCTCACAGCCCGGGCTCCATCCCGCTCCCTGCGCCCTCGGTGTGCAGGGGCGCCGCGCCGGCCGTCGAGCCCGGCCCCTCCACAGCTTCGCCGCCACCTCCACCTCTGCGGAGGCCCCTGCAAACCCCTTATTTTTGTTTTGAGTTTTCGACGCCCCCAAGGGGGCGGGGCACGTGACTCCCCGCGGAGGGATCTTTCACTTCCTCTGGCCTTTGAAAAAGAGTCCCGCCCCTAGGCCGCTGTTTTCAACCCTTTCTGGCCTCTTAGCTCCCCAGGGATTTGCCGAGCTTGTCCTCCCGTCAGGTTCCCGGGCGGAGGGCACATTGGGGTGTGGGATTTATTCTGCGATTGATGCGAAAGGGAAAGGAAGGGAGCGAGAGGGTTGAGGGGCGGAAGGAGACCCCTTCTCGGTCGCAGCGCACCTTTTAAAGGTCCCCGATTTATTTTGTTTTCGCTGTTTTGAAAAGTCCGCCCAAAGTAGCCGGCTCTCTGATTGGATACGGGTGGGTGCGAGCCAAGTGCTGAGGCCCTGATTCACTCTCGAGTCTGGATTGGCTAACTGATTGGCCTTCGAGCCCTCTGATTGGCTTTCGCCGTATCCTGCGCCACCGTCTTCCTTGGGGCCTTAGCAACTCTGGGGTCTCGATTGCGCATGCGTGGGATGGCGGCTTTGAAGGCGTTGGGTTGCCTGTCCTTGGGGTCTGTACTTTCCTCCGGGCCAGTTCCTCCTGTCACTGGGGAATGCCTCGCTCTTGTTGCCCCTCCTAAGAGGTCGAACAGCTAGATGACCTCCCTTTGTGATAACCTTTTCCACTACAGGAGAGTTTTCTCTGATCCTCCTTTATTTTGTCCTGTGTTGATTTACAATCACCAAAGAAATTATTCTGGCATTTGGGGGTGTACGCATCGAAATATTCAATAATTACATATTTTGATATTTGTTTTAAAATTTCCCAGCCCAAGGTGGAAAAAATGGAGTAGATAGGTAAAACAAGATGAACAAAAATTTATGAGAGTCGTTGAGGCTGGATGGTGGGTATGCGAGGTTTTGTTATACTATTATACTTAAAGATTTGAACGAGGGACTTTCTAATAAAAACTTTGCACGTTAGTAAGGGTATGTAAACATCTAATAATAATATACCTCCAGAGATTGTAGTTTGTGCTGTTGTTTTCTTTTTTTTTTT